CATTGTCCTTATGAATGAGCTTTAAACTCGTGTACTTACTTTCTCAAAGGTCAGTTATCACCATTGTACATTAACGTTTTAAAGCCAAAAATTTGATTTTTCTGTTACCAATTAATTAAGAACTTTAGCCAATAAGATTTTGAAATTTCTATGAATAATTATGAAAGTAATACAAAATAAATGAAACGGTTCTTTGGTATAAAATTGAACATAAGGAAAAACAAAAAGCTCCAAAAATTAAATTAAATGTAAAAAATCTAGCCTTCTTGAAGAATTCAATCTGTTCATCGTTTTCTTTCAGATTTTATTGCTCTCAAGCTTTTTTAGTCTATTTTAGTCTATGTTCAATTGTGTGCATTGATGGAGTGAGGATAATCCTCCATGACACTTTATCAAGCATATAGACAGCCGTATTTACAACACCTAGTCTAATTGGGGTAGACACCACCCTTTATCACGCTTATAAACAACTAAGCAACTATACTTACATTGTCATAATTGAGGGTCGATGGACACTTGATATTTCGCCATAGACATTCTTGTACCACCTACATTCACGCACATTAATACTTTGTCAAGGAACAGTTAAACGTCTAGCACCAAATTAATATAGAAATACAACAAAGGGATTGATTACCTGCAATAAAGAAAATAACTATATACAGAATTACCCCAGTTTCCTTCTGAAATCGGAATAGGGGAACCACAGATTCGCTGCCGTGCTCGAGCACAATTCTCATATCGGGCGGCATTCCTACTCGCTTCATATATGAAGCCAAGGAATACACCCTTCAATTATGCAGGACACATTAACAACCTTTTTCTGCATGTACAATGGGAGCTTTGGCCCAAAAATAAATATTCGTGAGTCAACAACGTTTGGCCAATTCTGAGTCTGGTAGGTATGTTTGCTTTGGTTCAGATTCTCCAGGAGCTCTCGGTCGACTAGTCTACTAATTCTGCCATCTTTTCTTTACCAAATTTTTTTGTTATTAGTTGAGCGATAGCGGTTGGTCGCTGCAGAGTCTGAACTTCGTTGTTTTTCAGCCCGACGTGTCAACCAGAATATTGCTATTGTACATGTTTTTCTTATATAATAATGTTCGTATTAAGTATGTTCTTTACATGAAAAGAAAAAGTTAATCTTAACAAAAAGTAAATTGAATCGATTTAACTTTGCGTACAAGCTTACAGTGATTTAAGTTTAACAAATGTTATTAAGGAAACTTAATTGTAAATAACAATAAGTCTAAGTGAGGTTATTGTCTTTCTAACGCATGGTGAAAAGCCTTTCCTCTAAAGGAGATTTTGCCCTCAGTGACCCTGGGCAATTAGCTAGTATTACAGTTCCCTATGGACCTATGCCAAACCTTACGATCAATTAATTGAAGAACCTCTTCTGGTAAAGTTTACTTTTGAAATCGGACAATCCAGTATTAAAACCTTTGCTGCGATTCGGCCTTTTGACTGAAAAGGGAAATCCTCTCTCTCGCATCTCCCTCTCATTCCCTATTCCATCTCTTGTGAAAATTCAACCCTGCCCATAGGAATAATCACGAGGAAACTACAGCAGATAATCTGCTATTTACATTGCTACTATTGTATTGATATTGACTGAAAAATTGTTTCATGATTGAAATTATGTGAGAAATAAATTGGCATTAGCAGCAAGTATTACACGCAGATTTGACAAAGGTACAATTCCCAAAAATTTCGCGGTGGTCACTTTTCAAAATTCATAAAATACGAATATTTATTTTTTATTAATATTTATTTACCAAACAAAACCCAATCTGCACGTAGTAAAAAGACCTTAATAACAATGAATTGTATTTTGTATAATAACATTTAAAATGTAAAACTCTCATCGCCATCTTCTTAATTTTAAAAATCCTTCTGTAAAGAAGATCTATGCCGCCAAAACAGAAGTCAATATGATAGATAGCAATGAATGTAACCAAAGTAGGCAGTACGCAGGACTTCAGGCCAAACAAGTTACCCACCTCTCTTAAATAAAAAACCACTTCCGAACACTTCAACTTAAGGCCAATTAAGGATTTAGCCTGATCAAGAAAATTTAAACTACAAAATAAAGCCAAGATATCTGACGGGCACACGATATTCTTCGCAAAAAGGAACTTACTTCCTGGTCTTGTCAAGGTTCAAAACTAGTCTATTCGCCAGAAACCAAGTATTTCGTTAGTCCAATTGATCATTGTTCCATGGCATAGCATTAGCCAGATCCTTATTGAATGAAAAAATGTTTCTGTCATCAGCAAAACGAGACAAAAATGAAACATAAACTAAACCATCCAAATCATATTCACATATATTAATTAAATTATTACAGAAGAGGGTTCAAGTGTTCAACATTTCTGCCTTTACAAAAACCAAATTGATGTGCACTTCATAAATTATTGGATTCAAAATGCTGAAAGAAAAATTAAAATTTCAAACATTTTTCCAAAAGAAGAAATGAAAACGATCCCTATTTAGTTTAAGTTCATATTTCTTGTTAGTTTTCTTTGGGATTGAGGTCACTGTGGCAAGTTATAAACATTTTTATTTACTTCGTAATTTTTAATTTTAATTTAATAAATAGAATGTAACCTAGACTTTTAATTAATGCACTACTAGATGGAAGAATTATGCTGCATGAAGCTTAAAAACAAAACAAAATCGCTTTGGTTCTACTAACCTACTTTTTTAAGCCCATGTTTTTCACTCTAGTTTCTGGAGTATTTGACATCAGTACTATATCACCAAAAAAAATTATTATTATTTATTATATTATACCGACAAAACACAATTTTAATATAAATAGGTGTATTCATGCCGGAAGTCCAAAATTTTTTTGTCCTTCTACATCAAAATGTACACTCGTATTTCGCATTTCAGATCTTTCTGAACAAATTTAGTTACGTGCCTGTCTGCCTGTCTGCCTGCCTGCCGGAGGTCAATTCCTTGTAACCAGCAAAACTCCGAATCCATGAGGCTAATTTTTCAGAGGTTGTGCGGGTTCGTTCTCACTGAATTTCATGCAAATCGAATCAACGGCACATGCGCAAACATAAAATCCCGTACACAGCTATAACTCCGAAACCATTACACGCAATTTGTTGAATTTTGTAGTGATTATGCGAGTTGGTTTCCAGTCCCCTATGAATTTCATCGCAATCGTAACGGTGTCGCCTCAGCATAGGCAAACGTACAATCGCGTTAATTTTTAATTGTTCTATAAATTAACATGGTGTAGAGAAAAAATTTAACTGGTTAAAAATTTTACTGTTTCATTTATCCTAAAACTTTGTAGAATTTCTTTCTTTTATTAATGACATTTAATTTTAAACTTTGTCTCTAACTACAAGTTTTAAAAAAGGAATCTTTTATAAGGATTGTTTGGTTTGTTAGTATTTCTCAAGAAGAAACATCTAAATCAATTGAAAACTTAAAGACCATCCTAGTAGGAGGAGATTAAGTGACTTATCCAATGGTAGAGGTGTGGATTCGTTAGCTATATACTGGGTGTTAGGGCTTAAAGTGGTTGTTACTGATAATATTGTTACCGAGTTTGAGCCGAGAAAGGGTACTTTCACGGTCAAAGACATTATCGGCTCTCATCCATCTCGATGAGGCAACACCAAAAACGCTAATACAGCGGTGCATTTTTTCTTGCCCGTTCCTAGCTACAGTGCAACGGTAAATGAGCAATTAGAGTTTATAATAAACATTTAGTTGGGTCAATAATCCGTCGATCCAGTTCTTTTATTTTTTTTATGACTTACCGTTTCTAAACTGATGTACCAAGATTCATTCATCAGTGTTTGATCCTTTTCATACAATTTAATTTTTATATATTACTAGGGGGCTTTATATTAAAAAAATGTAGTTGCCCCTTAATGAAATGACAAATATTAAAAAAATGGCTTTTATGGATATAAATTGATTTCTATGTAGCAAATTAAATAAACCCTATTTTACCGAGGAAGTACATATGAAAATGATACATATATGATTATTTGGAGATCGTAAGATGGTGTCTTGTGTGATGTAGGTTTAGAAAAACATTTTCTTTATTGCATTTATTCTTTATTGGCTCAATAAAGAAAATGTTTTCTAAACCTACATCATACAAGATCGCATCTCACGATCTCCAAATAATCATTAATTAACGGTCACTATAAACTAAACATTGATATGTTTGAAATTACAGTTAAAACGCATTAAAGAAATACGCATTTTTTGACATTTTCGTGGGTAGAATAATTAACAAGAATGGTATTAATGCCAAAGATGTTTTAGTGGCAAAGTGTTGGTAATAATATTTTCTGAATATGGAAACAAGGGAAGGCTACAGATGTTGGATTACTGATTTCAATGGCACATTTTGTGGTACTAGGTCACAAAATTTTAGACACGTTTCAGAGCGTTATTCCCAGTGAGCTCTAGGAGTCAGGAAAAAATATTTTATGTTTATAGTTTATTAAAAATGTGGTTTTGCCTGTTTTGGCATATATTTCAAAGTTAGTATATATAGTCGATTCGTTTTACGTAAGGCTGTATTGAGAGGAAAAATATAAATATTCATAAAAACCAAAAGCGCTCGCACTAGGTAGGTGTTTTAACAAGTCTTTTATTGTCGTCGAAACTTTATTACGATAATTAATCTAGTGTACTAACCGATGTCTGTTATTGTTTATGAATTGTCATAGTATTTCAATGGCGTCGATTGTTTGCGAAACTCTCAACACTCGAGTATAACAGGAATGTATGCAATGAGGGCGATTCGCGCGGTGTCAGAGGTAAAAAGAACACTCTAATTTCTATAGTTGCTTAATAATAAATAATAATTGGCGAATATTGGAGCGAATTAATATTTATTATCCGCAAAGTCAGTCATGGCTTTACAAATAGAAAAGGAACGTCCGGTATTGAATCTGAGGATGCGGGATATTTCCTTATTAGGGGTTGATGGGGGAGTAGAGGCGGGGGTTGAGCAGGTCGCCGGGACGTCTGCTGTTGCGAGGCATGCGCCTTTCGGAGGGTAAATCGGCAGCCCCTCAGTAAGCTAGTACGCCCCTCGGCAGTACACATGGTTGCACTGAGGCTTCCTGACTCAGAAGAGTACATTGAGGCTAGGTCGGGACGACCCCTTGACACCGGTTTCGGCCCAACGAAAGCCTCCAACACGTCGAGGCGGCTGTTCGTCAATTCGAATCTAGTCGATTTCGTCATGGACACCTTGGTGGCCAACAGTACGCCGCCGGCGGACCTGCAGGAGGCGGCCAACCAAACGTTTCCCCAGCTATTTTACCGGCATAGTATAGGGATGACTATCGTCTACTGCATAGCTTACCTGATCGTTTTCTTAGTAGGCCTCGTAGGCAATGTTTTTGTCATAATGGTCGTCTACCGTTCTCCGAGGATGAGGAACGTCACCAACTTCTTCATCGTCAACCTTGCCGTCGCAGACATCCTTGTCATCGTTTTTTGTCTTCCTGCGACCTTAATGTCCAACATCTTTGTCCGTAAGTAAAAATTTATAAACTTCATGCCCTTTTCTATATTTTATTGAGACTTTTTTACATCTCTTTAGAAAAAAAGGATAAACGATTAAATAAGTATTACTAGATTAAGTTAGAACAAACTATTATTAGGTAGTAGTAGAACTGATAATGGCAACGAAAACAATCAAATAATAAATAAATGATTAATTTAATGATAAAGCTTAATGTCTCTCTTCTCTCCAAAAGAAATAACGTCATTATAAAGTTTAAGAATTAAGCATTTGAATTTTATTCTTCTGAAATTTTCTCACCCGCGAGATTTAAAAATGGCGATGGTATGAAGTTAGGACCGAGCTGGATTCCTCCGCCAGCCACCCCCTGGTATACCAAAAAAATTGTGAAAAATCTCTCGTTTATTGAATATTCGGCGATTTCCAATAGAATTATCTTGAAAGCGGTGTAAATGTTCGTTTTCCACGAGAACAACGGTTAGCCATAGGTTGAGAATCTGACCCACAATGAATACTAATACAGGGTGCGAATCCACTCGGACGACATGAAATTTTCATTCGAAAAATGATTTTCCAACCGGTTTTCCTTCTCTGTCAACCTACACGACAATCGTTTCTATTTTAAAATTTTCCATGGCCGGCAGAGAAAAAATATCATTTTTAACGAAGTTATAAAAATATATACCTCTATCAGTCAAAACCATCATTTCTACATACTCGCATATCAAGAAGATTTTTTAGTTTTATTTTGAATTTTTAGCGTTTATTTTGGACAAAATATCATTTAGCACTGTAAATATGTATGCTGGGTACTGAATGCTATGCTCTTCTCGGCTACTGCGCACACCGAAAAGTGATACCGGCCACGGCTTGTACCGAATAAGTAAGTACACATTGATGTTAACATTGCCAAGGTTAGAGAAAAAATCCCAATGACCTTTAGCTCGGAAAATCAATAATTTCTCCATGAACAATACCATTTTCATTGGTTACTTTTATTTTCGAAAAATATTGATTTATGAATTGTTTCTAATTTTCACATTAAATTTGTGAAATTGCTAAGCTGCAGTGATATTTTGTCGTTAAATTAACAAATTGAAATTAATAAAAATGAAATACATATATATTATGCATATATAGAGTATTTAATATTGAATGAGCGTTCAGGGACATTAAGAAAGAAGAAGAGAATATTTGTTACGATTACTCGTTTAATTTTGTTTATTTTTGTTTCCGAAAGGAGTTCAAAAATTAAATATTACTCTTCAGCTGAAATAACTGAAATTTATATGACATCAAATTTATCAGAATAACTCAAAAACTAAAATGTTTCTTTAATTTAGCCATGGAATTTATCAGCGATTTTGTCATTTTACCCATTATGAATGATTAATTGTCACACAAAAGAAACTGCAGATTTTAAATCATTTATCGTTAACGGGTATACATTCACATTTCAAGTAATGTCAACCCGTTTTAACTCTTCAATGCGCGATATCTCAAATTGAAAATCAATCCTAGTCAAGTTCATAAAGCCAGAAGATTGATTATTTCTTATTGTTGATTATCACGGTGAACAGTCACAAATTGAATTTTAATCAAGGGCAATAACAATTATAAAGTTTAATATTGATAATTTAAAACAAAACAAAGATTTTTTCACTAGCTTAAATTAAGAAAAACATGATAAACTGTTACTTATTTTTATATTATTATATACTGATATTGATAAAATGTTCATTGCGATTTAATTTTATCAATGGTTTTATTTTGATTTTACATCCAATCTGAAGATTTTGAAACCATTGAGCGGGGTCCTAATGGTTAGGGATATGTTCATTAATGTGTGCAGATTTGTTCAGAATATTGCTTTCTATTATGTTCTGAACTGGTTTGTGTTTCGAAATAATTAATGTGTTTATTATGTACGTGGAATAAATGGACGATTGAACGGAAGGGAATTGTGCGAAAAAAATCATTACGTTTTAAAAACAAATTTGGTTAACAGGTCGGCTTAACTCGCCCCACTTTATTAAAATTCTATTACCAAAAGCAGATTCTACGTGAAAAAGTACCTTTCAAACGAGGAAATAAAAGTGCATGTATTTTATAAAAAATATAAAAATAAATAGTATAAATATTCTGACCTAATAGATAAATCTAAAACCCTTTGTATTTTTTTATTTTATTTTTCTTCTTTCTTGTTTTCTATTTTTTTATATGCTTCTTGTTTTTATAAATTAATTTCCTTGTTCATAAATGAACTTCTTTGTTCATTACAATACTGTTTAAATGAAATTCGATTGCTACCGATTTGGTTTTGGTTTTACTATCCTGGTGGGGTTGGACTTTTCAGACACGCATTGAATATGGCGAAAATCCCGAAACAGACCAATCCAGAAAAAATAGACAGACCAAAATAATTCCAAACGACCAAATTTTAGGTTCATCACCGGTGAAATCTCAAAATAATATTTTAAAAAATCAGGGTTTTAATTTGATTAGCAAAATGCAGAATGACTCTTGTAAAAGGATAATATTATCTGTGCCCTTATTCTGTTGGTTTCTGACAGTATAAAAGGTTTCTATTTTTATGTATGGCCTGTATCACAGCAAATCTTTATCGGCAATGCAGAAAAGTGTATAAAGCATCCGATGCCTGGATCTTTAGCAAAGGGATTAACTTCTTTATTTTCTTCTGTATCCCCACATTCCGACCAACATTATTGTGTTTCTTCTGAGAGCTTCGTACTAGATTTGAGTTGAACATTAAGGATGGTAAACCTTTCAAGGTCTTTTGCGTTATATCAAGATCTTTACTCAATGTTGACTGTTATAAGCATCGTTGTTAACTACAACACCGTATGGGTTTTGTCTCGAATAAATCGACGTCAAATGGAGTTTTACTGCTTTGAAAAGTTTATATTAAAATTCAGATTTCAAAGTACCGAGGAAAGAGAGAAAAATCTACACTTATTAATATTTAATTACTTCCCCCGTACTTCTTATTTTATGGAAATTTTTATTTTGTCCTCTATCTTAGTTTTTCAAATTAAACCATTTTGAAAAGGTTATTTATTTATTAAATAATAAAATTCAATTTACATTTATAAATTAATTTTAAAATGTGAATGTTTAAACGTTGCAAAATGATGTTTTTTCCTTGCAAGCTTTCTAAAATGAATAAGGAAACTTTGTTACTTTTAAAAATTTTACCAATTAAGGCTTTCATAATTAAAATTATAAAAATGAAAAACAAATTCTTTGTAGAGATGGATTTTTAATAAGGAAACATTATCATATTATGCAAAATGTAAAATATTGAAGTGTTTTTAAGCTTGCAACTTTATCTCTTTCAGTAGAACAATACGTATTTTTATCATAAAATTATACCAGGCGTTTAATCAAATTTATGCATAACATTGCTTCTCGTCCGAAACCTTAACCTAGATAATTTTTAGTTTTTAGTTTTGGGAATGTAATTGTGATTCTTTCCATTATTAAAAGAGAAAACATAACACGGTAAAATATAAATTTAGTATATACATAGCAGTTTATTAAGTAGTTTCTTGAATAAGTAATAATATTCTTGTTGTTTTTAAATAAGTTTATTGTATATAAATAAAAAAGGTGACCCATGGCCAGGTGGTTAGGGCGTCTGACTCGTATTGCCACGCTAGAGGTTCTGCCTTCGAATCCCGGTACAGCCGATGATCTTAATTGAGAATAGTATGGCAAAATATACGAAAGTGTTTGACCCTCGTCCACGATACCCCCCGGGTGTTTGACGTTAAACCCTTCTGTAGGGCGGATTGATTTACTTTAAATACATAAAATATTGCTGTTAATTAATCCATATATCTTTAGCCGTTATGAGATAAAAATAACAATTAATTGTCGTTAATGCTCTTGTCGGAACAGGCGTCACTTATTTAACATGGCCCAATAACAAATTTTAAAATGTAATAAAATATTTTACGCAAATAATTCAATATCAATTTGATAATTAGTAGATTTTCTAAACAGGTACGAAACTCCCATCGGATTACTTCAACAGAAAACATCGACATCTTTCGCCATATTCGTAACATAATACAGCCAATCTACCCAGCTTTAGGTTCGTATTGACGTAACGTTTAATCATGACGTGCAACATTTCGCGCTTTGCATTGTAGGTAATAACAGATGGATATTTAGAATTTCTATTCTATACTTGGGCTGTAGTTCAGCAATATTTTGAACGTTAATTAGTAATCTATGATTATTTATACTTCTTTCAAGCAAAATGTCCATTTTGTACATTTTTTAATAATTCATATTATTAGTTCTGTTTTCTAGAAGGTCTCTTCTATCCAAATTGGCTAACTAAATACATAACTGCATTATCCAACATATTGTGAAACATACGTAATCAGTTTGAACAGAAATGACCAAACTTTAATCTTAATCACGCTTCATGGTTTAAAAAAACCCTCAAATTGTTCGCAAAAATTTGAATTTAAAAAGTTTTATATGTACAAAAATTAATATTTAATTTTAATCATCGTTCTTCTAAATTTCAATATTTATGGATAAAGGGAAAGAAGTCGGTGTCATTACGGTCTATCGCACCGAAACCAATATTGGTCTATTATGCAATATTTGTGGAATATATTGAAAGAATTTAATATGGTGAAAAAATCAATTACTCGATAATTGATCTTGCAAGAAGTCCGTACTTATTGTATTACATGTTTTTTATATATTCAATTGACAGCCCTTAAGCAAAAAACTATTACCTTAAAAAACATTTTGTCAGTACTGCATAAAGCACGTTGAATAGTTCCAAAAACTTGGGAAATTCTGGGACGAAAGATGGCAAAGATGGTGGAACAAAATGGTTCATATATTGTTTACTAATATATACAAAAACAATAACTTATTTTACCACCCCAGTTATTCCTGCTGAATCGCAGAAGTAGATTTTCAATGTTATGAATCAACGAATTTTAAAAATTATTTAATTATAAT